CCACATCCCCTAGGACTCCAACCTTATGGATCGACAAGCACAGGACATGGGCAAACCCGAAGGAAGAACGACGAACCGCTACCTCGACTTAGCTCTACTTCTAATCATATAAGTTATATGAATGTTTAAGCATAAAGTTCTACATGTTAAGCTCATAACACAGAAACTATATGCTAGTTCATATGTCATGATTATAACATGAAAAGTATACTCTAGTTCTATAGCACTACTATATTGATAATATGAGAGCAAGACTTTGAAAGAAATTCTCATTGTATTCATACCAAGATTTTTCTCTTTCTTCCAAGGAGCCAAGCTCTCCTTGATAGCTCTTGCCTTGCTCCAATACTACTAAAAAGTGTAAAAGTACAAGAAGTGGTAGTGAAGTAGAGCTCAAATGAGGTGTGTGTAGGGAGAGAGCTCCACCCCTCTTCTTATACAAGCTGGAGGTCGGTTTGGCCCTAGTAAATTAAGAAACTACCCTATACCACCTCAGCATGACGCCATGCAATCGCCTGCGGAGGATGAGCCCGGGCCGCGTCACCTGTGGCGGGCGTACCCAGGGTGCGCCCGCACCCTAGCTGGCTCGCCTAGCCACCGCCTTTGCCAGGTGGGCTGGTGGCTGGGCCTAGGCTCCTCCCACGTCGGTGCTCGGCCCAGGTAAGTTGTGTAGATGGGCTTTCTCCTTTTATTCCATTGCGTATTTCTGCATTACGCTTTCTGAATTGCGCCTTTTGTCTTGTTTTCCACTTGTATTCAAATGTATGTCCTGCAAAACATGTTTCTTCCAATACAAGTGGAATATGTTAATAGTAAAAGCATATGTGTCAAAAGTTTGTTTATTTCTCTCGTTTTGGATATAAATTGGCAGTCGGATATGGTCATTAAGGACCACCAACAGCTGTGCTGATTTTTGTAATATGTCTTGGCTTTTAGTGTGGATACTTGAAGACTATGATACTAATAACTGGAGATTAAAGCATGTTGTGGACACATGAATATTAAAGTTGGTTCTGAGCTTTGTGATGAGGAGTACAGAGTGATTATAGTTCACCCAGAATGTAATTTCATTTTCCTTGTTGAGAAGGATAGAACATTGATTACATATGACATGGACCGCAGAAAGGTTCATGTCATCCATGCCCGTGTCATCCGCTTTTGTAGATCAAGAGGGCGTTTCCATATGAATAGGCCTTACTATCTTCCTTATGTTTCCTTATTCATGGAGTCATCAGCAGAGCAGTAAAGATGCATTTCTTGTATTGCGTCGTCACGACAGTCTTTGTTCAGGTAGGGAGTTGTTTTCGTTCTATGTATATATAGATCAATTTTGGCTTGTTAACTAAATAAATGGTATGTTCAATATTCTTAATTATGTTGCTTTGTGCAGGTTGTGGATTAGAGATGAATAAAAGGGGTCCATGGTGCATTGGCTACCAATCCGAAAGATGCACTAATTATATTCATTTTGTCTTGCAAGCAGGAGTGCCACATAGAAGGAGCACAGCTACGTCGTTTCGTTATGTAAGTCTGTATAGATTAGTACCTTTAGTATGCTCCATTTACCGCTTGTGTTAGGACATCAGTTGAGAAAGATGTTATTGTAGCGTCCATTGTTATTGTAAAAAGTACTCTTGTTTGTGAATATGATTTAAGGATGTAATGATTATATATCTGAATGCTTTGTGTTCATGAAGCTATTAAGGGTCCAGCTGAATTAGTAACTAATGTGAAACCGGATAAAATTCTGTCACCGTCGGATGTAAGCGTCGTTCATTGTTTTGTTATCACCACCGTTGCTATATGTATGATGCGGCAGGGATCAAAAGTATATCACCGTCGAATCCTTTAGTAACCCGATACCGACTAAACGGTCATCAAAGGCGGATCGTGGTGCAAGGCGACGATGACTATGTCCTTTGTACTGGCGGATCATACGTTGAAGCGATGGTGGTGTTAACCTCTACATAGGCGTCTCGGCCGTCGAAGCGACAGTGAACCCGCACCGCTGGTCGAAGTACAAGGCAACGAGGCCGGTGACCACTACACAGGCGGTTGATATGCCCACATGACGATTTTTATAGCCTCGACACAGGCGGATTATTTGCCAATGCGGCGGTGTTAGTGTACATCCACAGCCGGGTCATGCTCCAATGCGACGGAAGTAAGAACCTAATCACAGACGGATCATAAGCTGATCGACGGTGCTAGTGTACACCGCAGTTGGTTCCAAATGCGGACGGTGAAGGCTATGACCATCACTGTTAACAGCTTACCAAGGCCAAAATTGAACTGCGATGGGGTTATCACATGGCTGCGAAAGATCCGAGTATAGTAGTGAACTAGTGATAGCCCACTATTTAAAACACTGCTCCTACATGGGCCAAGGCAGGGGTATTTCTGGTGTCCCTAGGAATACCAACTTATTTTGCTAAAGCAAAATATATTTGTATATATAGTTTTGTATTTGATTTGACCAAAATAAAATTTGAGATCCTGAGCAGCCCATCAAACTCCTTTTTCTAGTCATGCGTTCCTGCAGTAGCATGTTGGTCATCCTCATGTATGAGATATAAGTCAGCACTCAGTAGCCTTGTCATAATATAATATATGCTCTAGGTGTTTTTGGAAGCCTTCGTCCACTTCCCAACAAATGTGTTGGTCTGCCGAGCATTCGTTGGTCTTCTATTTTTTTTCAAGGAAAAGAGAGGCTCATTTATTACTCAGAAAAGTTATTACAATCCCGAGCAATAATTTGCTCAATACATGCTGGCACCACCGAATGCCAAGTGGCCGAGTGGCTCGTTCTGAATGCCAGCTGCGCGAGCTCATGGGCAGCGCAATTACTCTCACTTCTCGTGTGGACAACTCTCCACCCGACTAACGTAAAGCACCTCCTCTAAGATAAAGCGAAGCCGAGACCGGTCTTCTATTGGCCGTTGTAGCATCGCACATACCGAACTGCAATCGGTCTCCACAATCACCGGCCCTTGTTGTTGGTCATCTAAATTTGACGATGTGCCGATATTTTTTATCCTGTCGTCTTGGGTGGACGCACCAATATTTGGTGCCAATCCAGATGACCATGCAACCTTTATCTCTGTCTCAATTCTTGCAACCGATCACCATGTTTAGCCCCCATCTACTTAATTCCTTGTCTATATTCAAACCCTAGATTAGGCCTACAGTCGATGTAGTGCGCAAGCGACGGTTAAGAGTATAACAACAACCGGTATTTAAGAATGGAGCGGTCCATCGGCGAGTAGTGCTAGCACCCAACATACTGCAAGACCACGCGCGGCTGGATGACCATGCAATACCCAAGTGTTTTCATGTAGATTCTAATAGAGCTTTGAAAAATGAAGAACAGACCAATAAGCATGAATTATAACTCTTCTCTAAACTGCCAACCAAATATATCCCAGGCAAGGTGGAACTCAAAAATTTTGAAGCTGTTCGGCTGATGGTTTATGCGGCTAATAAGCCAGCTGATGCTGATTTGTTGTGAGAGAAAAATACCGTATCATGGCTGATAAGCCGGTCTGATAAGTTCATGCTGATTTGTGTTTATATCACTTAAAAATAAATTCTGGTGCCGTCACTGCTCTCCTACCCTCATGGGACATGGACATAGGTTGCCTCGGTTAACAAGTAGAAGTTAGTTAACTGAAAATTCCACGAAAATCTTGTTCGACATCCATGACCCGCGGTATGACCCGTAACAAGTAAAGGTAATGTCATTTAGAAAATATAAATTTTACTTGTGGGACATTTGCGTGCACAGAGTCTCTCCTTCCTCATGGGTTTTACTGGGTTAGCTTACTCTCTTTTGTTATCTTATTACTAGTACTTACTCTCTTTTGTTATCTCATTAATATTACTAACTATAGAGACCTTTTTTTTTCAAAGTCTCCATACTAATCCATTTTCAGAAAAATATTACTCACATTTGCCATTGTGAGAATTAAACCCTAAATTTAACATATCTGCCACTGAAAAATAGCCGACAGTAAACGCCCTATATCCTCATCTAAATTGTAGACCTAATGCCATTATTTATGAAAAATAATATTATGTATTAATTATCCTAAATTAGCATGTATGATTAACCAAACATTTCGTAACAAGTTACCTTTACTAGATCTAGATGTTAGTTAACTGAAAATTCCACGATATCTATTTCCAACAGGCTAGCTAAGTCGTATTTTCTGGTGTAGAAGATGTCGATTAACAGAAAATTCTACACGTTCTTTGTCTAGCAAGTAGCAAGTCGTCATTCAGTTGTTAGTGCTAATAGTACATTAGTACCAGAAGACTAGAATTACAGGCTTGATCTTTCCGATATTTGTATCTTGACTTGAGCCGGTGTGAGTTTGGTAGTGTCAACAATACCGTAAATTAGTACGAGAAGACTAAAATTACAGTCTCCCTCCCTCTTTCACTGCCTGCAGCCTAACCAAGTAACCCTCCCTCTTTTTCACTGCCTGTAGCCTAACCAAGTAACAAGCAAGGTTGTGGGACCTTTGTTTTAATATAAAATTCTATTATTTTTATTGCGATGATGTTCGCTCATACGGAAACATGTGCGCCTCGTTATTCAGTGTATTATGTTTCTCTACCTCTCACACTTCTTCACAAACCAGGAAGTGAATACACTTTTTTCAGACAATACTCAAAAGATTGGCCTGAACACACTTCTTTCTGACCCTATGCAGGTTCCAGTTGCGAATAATGTAACAGGAACTAAGGTAAACAGTCTAAGATGAATAAAAATAAAGCACAAGACAAGCAGAAATAAAATAGCCGCCACACGAGAGATCACCATTTATTCGCTCCCAATCTCGGGCGCACACAACTAACATTATCCTTCTAAGTCCTAACCAGGGGGTGTTACAGAACTAGTTCAGCATTATTCCCAGCCACAGCTACAGTTCGTTTTTTGTGGACCATTAATTCCTAGCTACAATTTGTACACAGCTACGTCAAGCAGCCATCAGCTCCTACTTAGTGGAAGATGCTTTCGTCTCGTTCTTCTTCCTCTTCCCCTCCGGCGATGTCCTGCCCCGCTTCACAGGCTTCTCACCAGTTGGTTTCTTTATGGTGTTGGTAGCATGCAGTGTGGCACATAGGCGCAGTGGTATTCTGGTCCTCCGATGAAACGCTCGTACACAGACATATCCTGCAAAAAAACACCAAGCGGTTCTGCCCTGTAAGATTAGACCAGAAAAGATTCCCTAAAAAAAAAAAAAAAAGATTAGACCAGAAAAGGAATCGCATGTCAGGTCTGTGTCAAACAAACCCGTGGGCCGGGTAATTGATCTGCAATACTATGCTTTCATAGCATGCCATTTCTATGTCACAAAGCTCATTTATCTTGCACAGGTTGTTAGATGGATTACATGTTGGATTTTCCGTCTACGATTCTGGGATTTGAACCTATGATCTATGAGCTGAGAGCCTTAAGATGAAGACCAACGACTCAGCCAAAAGAAAAGAAAACCAAGAAACGTTCAGAGCCACTTGATACCTTCCTTGAAGCATTCCTGGATATCTTCCCTTGTTTGACCTGAGGTTGATAAGAATTTAAGTTAAATGACTCATCAACAATCATTTCACGGCTGTCTTTCATGTTTATATTTCACTTATATAATACCTTTTGTGATTGAGTGTATAGATGCACCAAAGTATACAATGCTTCTCTTCAGCATCCCAATACATTCCCTAGGTATAGTTATTGGGTTTCGGCTAGATGAGTAATCTGCAAAAACCTACAAAAGGGTATATTTTTTATGGACTAGTGTTCGACCAATCTGGTATGGTATTTGCTTTGATTATTAAAGGCTATATACCTCATTATCCTGGAAGTAGGTACCATTCAGCGGAAACTTTCCTCTATTTGCTGTCCGACATGGTATCTGCATATTCACATATGCAAATGGTTAAGGAATAACAAAACAAAACAGAGGGGAATGTAACAATTTCAATCAGCAATATCGAGGAAAAATAGTTCAATGGTGAGTTTAGAGAGAGAGAGAGAGAGAGAGAGAGAACATTGTTGTCATTAGAACTATGTAAGAATTTGCATCGATTCTGACTAATTTCATCCAATCCAAAGACAACAAAAAGAAGTGATAAGGAGTTGCCAAAGTTTTTTCAATAATTTTTTTAACGCATTTTTCATTAATTTTAAATCAGAATAAGAATTCTACAGAATTGAAGGGTATGTTTGGATGTAAGAGAACAAAATTTAATATCCTTGGGTTGGTTGGGATGAAAAACGAATTAATTACCCAGCCAACCCCAAGGGATTGGGTTGAAATAAAAACCAGGCCATGGCTGATCCATCAAAGATCAGTAAAGCAGCTGAGTGAAAGTCATAGTGGTTGTGACTCCTAAGTAGAACCTCCAGGTCCTGGGTTCAACTCCCGTAGGAGCGAATTTCAGGATTGGTTAGTCCTGGGTTCAACTCCCGTAGGAGCGAATTTCAGGATTGGTGAGAAATCATAATAGTAGTTGCTCACCAGAACCGTGCCTTTCACTGTGTAGTCATCAGGACAAGAAAGAACCACTAGTAGGTAAGGACATATATCTTCTGGAACTCTGTCTTCGAACTGGTACACAAGCAAATAGGTCACTAGATTAATCAATGTCAGTGTAAAAGAAAAATATAACTCATAATTGTAGTAAAGTTAAGAATCACACAATATAGCACACCTCTTCTAGGATTAGATGATCATCTGGGAGGACGTATCTACAGTAGAAGTTAGAAAAAAAAAACTTAGAGAGGTGCTGCTGATTTCTAAGGACAAAATTATATCAAGAAATCAAAATTACTTACGCGTTGTGTTCTGTCCTAAGACGACCGATATTTTTTAGTTTTTTATTTCGGCCAAAGCTACCCTTTGGATTGATCACAGCCAAGTCCTTTCCACGGTTCGGTGTCCAAGAATTACTGTTCAGCACATGCTTGCTTGAACAAATATTTATTTCAGCATCATACTGTACTCCTTCTGGTGCAAAATCTTCAATATCACATGCATAATAATCTTCGTAAGAATCTTCTTGCACATTAGGTGTTCTGTTGTATTCATATTCTGGGCTTGGTGGCATCTCAATAATTGGCTCGCAGTTATGGATGGGTGGTGTTTCAGTAGTGCTGCTTATTGCAATTTGATACTGATACATTTGTTGAGAACTTGTGCAACTCCCAGAAGCAACCATGCTTGCTTGTTGTTCTCGTTCATGTTCATGCTTCTCTGGAAGAGGAAGCGGCTTTCTGAAAACAAGAAGAATCTTTCCAACTCAGCAATACAAGCCACAATAATACTGGTTTGAGTTAGGCGAATAGAGGAAGAAATTAATTGTTTTAAAACTAAGGGTTAAGACGGAAAACAACTTGAAGAGTTGAGTGAAAGGTAACCTTTTACTAATTGAAAACAATAATGAATGAAGTCTACCAAACAAGTCCCCCCACCCCTACCCCTAAATAAGTCACAAATTTCTTGTCATGGACCCATATCAGTGGACGTGGTTTGTAAAACACCTGGGAAAGAGGAAGGTGTGGCAGCTGGAGGATGACTTGCCTCAAAGTAACCTTAATACATTGGATCTAATATATGGAATGCAATCCTTATAATCTGGAAAATTTCTGGAATACAACTTCCTAATTCTCATAACTTAATGGTCAAGCAACAAACTGCGTAACAAAGGTGGACCCACGTTACTGTGCATGGGAATGGAGAAGTCGTGGCTGGCTTTGCTCGCTTAACTGGCTGGTTTCCTGACATTCCTTACAATAATTCAGAGCACCCATCTTTCATATTGTCGCAAATGTGATAACTTACAGGAGCACTCTCTTTTCTTTTGGTTTATTATCATCTGATTGGTTCCTTGAATAGGTTTAGTTATGTTGTTAGTAATTAATTTTTGAAAATCTAATCTAAACTAATGGTATCTGATAATACCTATTTGTTATGATATATATTATTAGTTAAATGGATGCTAAGTTTAAATGGCATACAGTTATACAAATACTTAAGGCACAGTCTACAAACAACAGTATAAATCATGAACATACCTGGCAAGTAAACTATTGTAATATATACAACTTGCACTGAAAGGACAAGCTCTGCAGTTTGGATCTTGTTTTGTGCACACTACCTGCATCATGAAATCAATCAACCACAGCCAGAGTTGAAAAATATTCATAGCAAAACAAAATATAACTCACTTAGAATATATGCGTACCTTTCCAAAAGTTATCATAAGACAGTGCAGTTCATACCTATTTTTGTACAGGTAGTCAGATGGATATGCTTAGAGACTAAGAGTAACGGTGAAGTGCTACCAATCTTCAAAAGAGATTGTGGACTTACAGCTTTTCCTTATCAATGGTGCACAATCGAGGCCATAAGTACCTTTGTACATCATCCAAGAGCGGATATCTTCACGAAACAAAAAAAAAGGAAATATGGAGAAAATTGTTATTATAACAAAAAAATAAGGAGAGAATTGTTACAATGGTATTCACATATTCAACCTAGACAAATCTTACAGGTTAATTAGATGGAAATCAGCACCGTTTAAGGGCTGAAGTTTGACCCATCCTAGCCTTGTCACTATGCGAGCTACGTTGACATCAACCTGAAATAAGCATGGAGTCAGCATTCGCGCTTGACCATATTTTCTATAGAATGACAAAGTATAACTTACTGGAAATGCTTTATGCCTCAATGACAAAAGGCAAAGGCAGTCAACACTTTTCACTCCAAACCCATGTATACTGAGCAGAATTTTTCTAGTGCCAAGAAAAATAAAAAGAATAAGTAAATTTTGCAAGATGGAATTCCATTATGCAAGTAGATTGTATATAACTGTGGACGAGTTTGATTTTCTTGATTCATAACCTGGTAGCAGTTCCCTGATAAAAATTCCATGACAATCCTCCGATAGTTCTTATACAGTTTTAGACAACCAATTGTTAAGTTGTACTGTGTCCACTAATACTGTTTTCCTAAAATAATCTAGGTGATAAAAGAAATACTTAACAAAGTTGTTTAATTTTTCACAGGCACAAATACAATAAAAAGGAATATTATTCTTTGAAGATATTTCCTTCAACAACAGCCACCACAAAGAATAGAGCAAAATGGTGAAGCAATAGGCAGTAGTATATGTACTATGAGCGAAGCCATACTTGGCTTTTTCATGTGATATAAATCTAAGCCAATCCAGGTCAAAGCTTCCATCTTGAGCTTTCTGTACATGATCGAGAAATTCCTATAAAAGGGTAAAAGAATGCTTTTAGCACTTTCATCCCAAGAATAAGAAAGATAAATATGATGACAGGCTAGAAACCCTAGTAAGTGATAAAACTAATATTTCAATCACATTGTTGATAATCTGGTGGTTGTAAAATAGAGAAATACATTTGGTTGTATTGAATAAAGAGTCCACTGTAGATGCACAAAGCTCATTCCGCTAAATACACATTTAAAAGAAACAACTCCATCTGAAGAAAGTTTCCCGTCTACAGAAATTTTGGATACAATTTTAGAAATTTATTCTTGCAACAAAAATGTTGGATATAACTTTATAAATATAATTTCGCTACAATTTTTTTAATAGGATTACAAATGTTGAGCATTAACTTTTTCAAAGATGAGTGCATTCATCACTTGGGATAAGATAGTTATAAATATAGTGATGCCACAAAAAACTTGAACAAAATATTAGAAATAAGTAGATGGCAGTTTTTGTCTTGCAATAACATACCCGTATCCGCACAGACAAAATGTTATGCTGCCCCCTGCATGCAATGCATTTTGCGACCTCAGAAAATGGCGCATTTAGAACTGATTCCCAATCTACAACATCACTTGTTTCAGTTCGACTTTTGCCATTGTATCCTTTTTTATATGCTTCCTCCCGTAACTCTTTCCAATTAGATGTTGTGTCTGGTTGTCGTAGTGAAGCTAAGATCTTTTTCAAGTTTGCTTCAGTGCATACTGGATTTCCAGATTTATCCTTCACTAAGTTCATAAGGTCACTGTTCCAAGTAGAAATGTTTTTCTCCTTCATACTAGCAGCGAAATTCCCTATAAGTCTATTGTAGTCTTCATCTTCACCATAATGCCCTTTCACCTCTGTATCATAGTCAACTTCTTCCTCAGAATCAACATATCCATCAAAATGTGAATCGACGAAGTCAAACGTATCAAATGCTTCATTTGAGTTCCTTGGAGGAAACTTTGCCGCTAGGTTCATAAAAGCTTGGCTGTTTTCCATGGATAAGGAACAAAAAATGTAGGAAAGTGGAAAAAAGAGGAAATTAGTTCTGGTATAAAACATATGAACATTCTAAAATCATATTTATGGATCATTGGATCCTCATTTTACCTTGATAAATTATCAGCAGAATTCTGTGTAAGGAAAGTACCAACCGCAGAATCAATTAGGGATCCTCCCCACTGAGAATATTTTCTAGGCCCTAATGAAAGAAATTAAGAAATTAGAAACCATTTCATACTCATGTATCCCATAGAGACAGTAGGTTGTATGGCTTACTGATCCGATAAAACTAACTACTGTAGAAGCAAGACATGATTTTTGTTCATAAAAATGTGACACTATTGACAGCCAGGCAACAGGTGTTTGCTTCTCCATAGGTCTTCCCAATGTCTATGTTTGAATAACTGATGTTTGCTCAGAAAAAAATTGCATGCACACATTATTGGATCTTTTGTCACAATTTAGAAGCTAACATATGTACAATCTAAAAGAAGGAAAGAGAAATAGAGGAGTGGCATCTCAGTGAATAACTTCAACAAATGAAGTTAATGTCTCACTGGAAGAACTATTTCTTGATCTAGGCAAAAAATTATCTACAAGATTTTTTTTTATTTTGTTCTGCGAAATATGAAATTGACTTAACTCTGAATTTCATTTTATCAGCTCACAATGCTTAGAGTTTTGTCAAAAAATCATTTTTCCTATTGACTCCACAAGATATTTTTCATTCTAGCTTTTTGACACAAATGGAGAAAAACTAAGCTTATGGAGTGACCTGCAATAGTGCAAGATTTCCTAAGCTTTTTAGACAAGTTAGATTAGAAGGCATTTTTTTGTGTTGTCACTTTTTATTAAAGGTAATGTGATCCTCTTTCTTGCATTTTGTATTTTGACACACGAAAGCATAAAAAGGGCCAGAATAATTACCTATTAGATCAAACATTTCAGCAATAAATATATCCACATATTGTTCAAACGTGCGACGTGTTGTATCCCATTCAGGTCCGCTGCCAATATCAAACCCTTCAAAACTCTCACTGTCGCTCCTATCCCACTTTGTCAGAACAGCAAACACCCTCAATGCTTCATCAGTAAGGCCCAAAACCTTAGCTTGCAGTTTCCCATGATTTTGAGGGCATGGGATATCAAGTTCTGTTGAATACCGAAGTGGCTCAAGCGCAAAGGATGCCGCCTGGTAAGGCAAAAGTGCCAGCTGACCACTTTCGTTGTGTCCTACCATCAGTTTCCTCTTCTTCCCTCTCTTGCTCCTCTTGCGCGTAGTCGGTTCACTGTTTAAACCATGAATCTTGGCAAGGGACTTCAAGTTACCCATCAGCTCGGCTCTGCTGAAACATGTTTTACTTTCTGATGAATCCAAATCCAACTTGCGTCTTGCACTATTAGACCTGGCAGCAGCAACACGTTGATTACCATCCTCTGGCATTTTCTTCTTATTCTTCTTGACTGTACAGGGCGTGGTCACCTTGGGCTTCATCACTTTATCTTTGGCCACTTTGAGCCGCTGAACCCCCTTGGTCGACTTCTTCCCCCACCTCCGAGGTGTGGGCTCCACCTTCTCCGGAGTAGGAGTATGGGCAGGAGAAGCAGCACCTGCATCGCTGCCACTAGCAACACCTTCTTCCTGGTGCTGCTGCTGCTCTTGCTGTGCAAGATTGCCAGTGGACTCGCCCACCAGTGGAGGCAAGGTGCTGGACTCTTGCGTGCCCACCGGATCACAGTCCACTTGGCCCAAATCCTCCGGCATGGCGGACTGAGAATGTTCCTGGGCATGCGACGGCACCGAGGCCAGGCAGTCGCTGTCCACCTTTCTGGGGCCAGCAGCCGCGCTGGTGTACAGAGCAGTGCAGCAAGAGCCATCTGCGGCGGTTGTGCCGGACGCCCGCATTGGCTTGCGGACAATGTCGGGTGTCGCCGGCGATATCCCCAGCTGACGCCCTGATCCAGAAAAAAAAAATCCATAAGCTACAGGCAGTGTTATTATTATACTTAAAAACTAAACGGTAAACAGTTAAACCATCGTGGCCGTTTAAGCGGAAAAACAACCTTTTAATAAAAAAAGATATACGGTCAATCAAAACTAACGGTCCCTGGACGGAACTAAACGGTCGATTAATACTGAGAGTCCCTAGACGGACTAAACAGTCGATTAAACGGAAATGACGTACTAACAGTCTAGACGGACTAAACTGTCGATTAAACGGAAACGAGTACCTCAGACGGACCAAACAGTCGAGTAGCTACAGGAATCACACACTTCACGAGAAAAAAAAACGCAATTTTTCTCCGACTCGGCTAGACGGCTACTCTCCCAGACTCCGTTAGCACAGACACCGCGGATTGACTCGCAAATACTCAAATTTTATAAGACTTTTAAAGATACATTGGTTTTACTATTGAATGTATATCGAAGTACATACGTTGCTTTTACTACAAATGTATATCTAAGTAAATAGCTTATATCTACAAAAGCCAAAACGTGGAGTAATAGATTGCAGCACAAGAACACCAAAACGAGCAATCCAAGTGAGCCAACAAGTGCAAGAGCATAAAAAACAACGGATGCGAAAGAGAAAGCAGGCCTTTTTTTTTACTATATATACTCCAGACACCAGATTCACTAAGCAACGAAGCCATTAGCGGATTACAGCAACAAACCAACAAGCGCAACAGCATGGGCAACCACAGATTAAACCAGCGAGAGCTAGAGGGAATAATAAAACCGAGCACAGCGAACTCACCAAGATCTGCCGCCGACTCTGCCTCTGCCTCCGCCACTGCAGGCGCCATGGCAGCAGCGCCCGCGCGAGAGCGAGCCCGGCCGCTGCTGGGCCCTGAAGACGAAGTCGACGAGAAGAAGGGCGCGGACTTGGAGTCCACTCCACGACCCCGCTCCGCCCTGGTTTGTTGATCCCGTGTTGCAGACGGCCAGAGTAAAGAGCTCTGTTTCCTTCCTCGAACCGCTCCGTCCGTGAGAACTCAGAAGGGAGGAGATAATAAAAGCAGGAGAAGTTGCGAGGGGAGAGTCGCTGCGGTTGTTCGTCCCGGCGGCGGAGGAGGGGACAAGTGGCGAGGCCGTGCCCCTGACTGGTGGGGACCGCGCGCCGTGGTTCCGTTGGACTCGCGCTTTGCGGCCTTCGGGTGATAGGGTCTAACGGATGGGATCAGGCAGGCTCAGCGTCAGGCAATGAACAGACCGCCGTCGCCGGTTGCCGAATCAAACATAGAGGATGTCACTTCCTGTCACCGAGAGACTGGTGGAGCAGCCGGTTTGGGGACGACGGTGCTCGGCGTCTCCCGTAACACAACGACAAGATATACTAAAGATATTACGAGATCTGCTAGATACGTATGACCTATGATTTCTATAATTTGTTATTACTTTCCGGTTATCTTCCAACTCTAACCGATTTGTAACCCTGCCCTCGGACCATATAAGGCGGGCAGAGACCCCCTCCAAACTCACGTAATATTATACGATAGCCAATACAATCCAACAGACCATAGGAGTAGAGTATTACGTCATACTGACGGTCTGAAGCTGTCTAACTCGTGTGTCTCTGTTGCCTTCTTGTTCTTGATTACACGTCTCTCTGCCGATCAATCTACGTTCGTGCGATACCCCTTGGAGGATTGCCGACGATATTCTGTCGACAGTTGGTGCGCCAGATAGGGGGTGTGCGCGCTAATCCTGTGGCGAACCAGATGGACCTCAAGATCAACGCCATCCGTGGCAATTTAGCTTCTGGCGGCGACGTCTTTCACCTACGATGGAGTCGTCATCTTGAGGCTCTTGCGGCGGCTTGACGTCGCTGTGCGAACTCGTCGTCAAGTCGGCTATCTGCGGCGGCGTCTCCGGCGTCGTATACATGGGAAGCAAGCCGAGATTTCAACGAGATCGGATCCGCTTCCCAGCTTCAACAGCGTCATCGAAAGCGGTGTTCCGAATCTACTCCCGCAGATTTGGCATCGGCCGCTACTTCTGCGAACCACGGCACCAGTTCATCAAGACCCTGCAGGACTAGATTGGATTGGTATGTTGGTTGTTGCTGGCTACCAGTCAACCACATGCATCAACGTTCGGGTGCAAGCTGTTAGGCAAGCAAGAAATCAAAGGATGTGTGATCTACAGTGCCATGCAAGCTAAAAATAGTCAAGATCTCCATCAGGCTCGCATGTGCTCATGTATCTCCATAAGGCATACAAGCAGAGATGCCTCGCGGACGAAGGTTACGACCTGCTCGGCGAACTGATCTGACCATCTCCCTTGGATCACGTGTTTCAATCTACAAAGCGCCTGGTCCATGAGCAACCGCCTCGTCTCGATCGTGAACCACTTCATCAGCGGCATCATCAAGCACCGTGCCGGGATCGACTCACCTGGTGCCGATTCTGACTCTGCCCGCTGAGCTCGACTCCGACTCCGTCTCGATCGAGAACTCCGACTCTCCCAGAAGTTCGGACTACATCAAGCCACCAAGCCAGCTGTTAAGCGAGCTACCCGCGTCGCCGACCACTAATATAAGGACGACGTCACCCGAGCTACTTACTCCGACCACCTGCCGCGTCGCAATGATGATCGTCGCGAAGAACGGCGACATGACAACCGCAACCGCCGCCATGACGACAGTTCGGAAAGCTCGAGGGCCGGGCAATTTCGTCAACACCGACCAGATAACGCCATACGCTGCCGACCAGACGTTCTGTCTAAAGCTAAGTCACGCTTTAATATTTTTCTAAATATTCTCCGATCTTCGTATATCGCCATAATGTTTCTCCGGGCCGTTTTCTCTATGTTTGCTCTCCAAATGATTTTCCGAACCCCCGAACAGTCATGTTGATGCTCGGATGTCCCCAGAGACGGTCCTGTCTCCGGCTCCTCCCTACACGTGCACGAGCGTCTGCCCTCTACGTTATGGGTGGTTGGCAGTGGCTCCTTAATGACACTTTGTTCTTCCTACACGCACACGGGCTCCGCGCTCCGCGTTATGGTTAACGGGCTAGCTAGCGCTGGAGACTCAGCTACACACTAACTGGTTGGGTAGTTTATATTAAATATAAATACATCTTCAGAATAACACTAAGTGTTCACACCAACTGATCGCCGAGCTACATACATTATTTCATCGCCATTGCTAATTTTTCTTCGGAGTTCATATATTTTTACATCATGTACTATCCGTTCTACATATTTGTATTGCAGGATTATCATCCAGGTGATCGGATCACCTGGCGCTCGAACTTCTCCACCGATCAACTGGTCGGACCGCTAGGTTCATGGACTTCGTCACCGATCAGTTGATCGGACTGTTCGCCGGTCGTTTATACTCAATGCTCACTTCGCCACCGACTAGTTGACCAGACTGTTTGTCGCTCGTGCTTCATCGCCAGCTACGCCGGGGGCTCCTCGGTGCTCGGACATCGCCAGATACGCAGGGGACTCCTCGGCGCTCGGACATCGCCAGCTATGTCGGTTACTCCTCGGCGCTTGGATTCTTCGTGCTAGGGGACTAAGTGGGCACACTTTACCCCACTTCACCTTGCGGACATCGCCAGCTACGTTGGAGATTCCTCGGTGCTCGGACATCGCTAGCTACGCCGGGGACTCCTCGGTGCTCGGACATCGCCGGGGACTCCTCGGTGTTCGGACATCGCCAGCTACGCTGGGGACTCCTCGGTGCTCGAACATCGCCAGCTACACTGGGGACTCCTCGGTGCTTGGACATCGCTAGCTACGCCAGGGGCTCCTCGTTGCTCGGGCATCGCCAGTTACGCTGGGGACTCCTCGATGCTTGGACATCGCCAGCTACGTCGGGGATTCCTCAGTGCTCGGACTTCGCCAGCAACACAGGGGACTGCTCGGTGCTCGGACATCGCCAGCTGCTCGGTGGCGAACGAGGCGTATCTCAGACATTGCCAGCTACGTCAGGGACTCCTTGGTGCTCGGACATCGCTAGCTACGCTGGGGACTCCTCGGTGCTCAGACATCGCCAGCTACGCCAGGGACTCCTCGGTGCTCGGACATCACCAGCTACGTCGGGGACTACTTCGGTGCTGAGGAGCCATACTCAACAAGCTCTAAGCATGGTGGAAGAGGCGTGTAACCCTGCCCCCGGACTATATAAGGCGGGCAGGGACCCCCTCCAAACTCACGCAATATCATACGATAGCCAATACAATCCAACAGACCACAGGAGTAGGGTATTACGTCATACTGACGGCCTGAACCTGTCTAACTCGTGTGTCTCTGTTGCCTTCTTGTTCTTGATTACACGCCTCTCTACCGATCAATCTACCTTCGTGGGATACCCCTCGGAGGACTGCCGACGGTATTCTGTCAACATGGACACTTTCCCGTCCTCACCATCGCACCGCGAATCGCTTGAGATAGCTAAGGAATTTTACACGGGAACCTACCCCAAAACCCTCGCTACCAACGAATCTAGGCAAGACTACACCTAGAAGTGAGGCGCTACCAAGGAATTTTATACTGAGGCAGCACTCCGCAACCCGAGTACATGGACACTTCCCCGCCATCACCACCGCACCGCGAATCGCTTGAGATAGCTATAGAATTTTACATGAGAACCTGCCCTAAAACCCTTGCTACCAACGAATCCGGGCAAAAGGAAGACAAGACTGGCTTGGATTATCTCACCGACGCAGGAGATGCTACTAGCGATGAAGTGGATGTGGACCCCACCATAGAAGCTTGTGGTTGCAGATCTGGTGAGGCGTCCTCCTCCGCCGTGCTCCTACTCCCGTGTCCTAAACACCGACCAGACCAACCTCAGCACGGACCTACGGAACCTTACGAACACAGCCGTGTCGGCGATGAACAGATATCGACTAGTCGTCTAGGATTATGATCTCGAGTCAAGGCGAAAGGAAATCGAGGATCAAGGAAGCGATGCCTAGGACCAAAATCTCTGATACCAGCTGCCACGTCCTGTTTTCGTCGGCAATCGCTGCCGACGTGAGGAGATCGAGCGGATCGAGAGGTTAGGGGCGAGCAGAGGAAAGCTTTCCCTTTCTCGATTTGGTATTATCAGAATTGGAATAGTTTGCGCTACCGCTTACGACTGACGCTTATACCCAGTTTTGGCCTAGGGCCCACATGTCATAGGAACATATTATAGCAACCGAATAAGAGTACGTTTTTGGAAATGTAAAGATGTAAAGCCTCCGCGCCTCTCCTTCAGGCCTTGGTGTCCGCCGGCTTGACACTTCCTTGTGACGATCCATGGATTTGGACGGTTGTTGGGTGAGGGAATCTCTTTGCTCTGGCTCCTTGTTGGGAAAGAAAGAAAGACCGACCCGCTTACAACTCACGCTTACACCCAGTCTCTGCCTAGGGCCCACATGTCATAGGAACATATTACAACAACTGAATAAGAGTACATTTTTGGAAATGTAAAGACGTAAAGCCTCCGCGCCTCTCCTTCAGGCCTTGGTGTCCGCCGGCTTTGACACTTTCTTGTGATGATCCATGGATTTGGACGGTTGCTGGGTGAGGGAATCTCTCTGCTCTGGCTTGGCTACTTGTTGGGAAATAAAGAAAGACCGCCCCGCCGTCGCCTCACCGATTGCCGAATCAAATAGGACCAGCGACAATGTTGGCTCGATTGGATCTCAAATTCAGATCTGGAACTACCAGAGGGCAGGTTGGCCTTTAGCGCTTAGATTGAATGAAAATGCAATGGCTTATTTTTACAATGACACTCCCTTTCCCTTTATAGGCAAAGGAGACTTCCACTTGCGACAGTATATTCTAACCACTAAAGTGGATG